GGGGAATGGAAGTTGGGGTCATAGGGAGAGGAAGAATCATCATCTTCTCTTCATGCTTATGTATTGCTAAATTATTTTACAATGAGAATGCATTCATGTAATACTCTATAACTAAAAAAACATAATGAAAATGCTTCATGAAATAGGTTATAGGTCCATTATAAAAACAAATCCTTGATCTCTAAGGACAGGAATAACTTTGCCCTTAGAATATACTGCTGCACATTTTTGCATGGAGTACTTTGACTTTAATTAGGTGAGGGAAAGGTAAACATGGTATTATGATTGATTTTTAAAAACAATATAGCGTACTATTTGGAAAATAGAATAAAATGTCAAAGTCATCCATGACAATTGCTGCAATCTTTAGCAACCACTATAATCTTGGTCTCTGTTATCAGGGTTTGGTGAATGAAATTCCTCGTGGTTTTTGTTGAGTGAGGTACTGGAGGGAATGTAAATTGGAACAACATTTTGGAGAATGACTTTGGTAGTATAGATCTCAAATCACAAAAATAAGGATAACCTCTGACTCAGATTCTACTTAGAGGGATCTGTCCTAAGGAAACAATGTGAAGACAAAGACTTCAGCCTACAGATGTTTAAGGAAGTGTTGTTTGTAACTGAAACCGTCCCAACAGGGCAGTGATTGATGGGCTGCATGATGTAGACAAACCTAGTTTAAAATGTTGGCGTTTTTGCTTACTAACTGACTAGCTGTGCAATCCTGATCAAGTAACAACTTCTCTGTTGTTGATCCATGTGGATATGAAAATGGTGGTAGTCCGTTCTCACAGTGGTGTAGAGAACTACCCAAGACTGGGTAATTTATAAAGAAAAGAGGTTTAATTGACTCTCAGTTCCTCAGGTTGTACAGGAGGTATGACTGGGGAGGCATCAGGAGACTTACAAGCATGTTGGAAGGGAAAGGTGAAGCAAACATATCTTCACATGGCAGCGGGAGAGAGAGTGAAGAGGGAAGTGCTACACACTTTTAAATAACTGGATTTCATGAAAACTCACTCACTATCATGAGATGAAGGGGGAAAACCACCCCCGTGATCCAATTACCTCCCACCAGGTCCCTCCCCCAACATTGGGAATTACAATTCAACATGAGATTTGAGTGGGGACACAGAGCCAAACCCTCTCTCTCTCTATTTCTCTTTCACACACACACACATACACACACACACACACTCACACACACATTGGGAATTGTAATTACTTACCCCCATTGACTTGCAATACTTATTGAGTGAGATAATCCATGTAGAACATCTAGAACAGTGTTAAGCACATTGTAGATGCTTACTAAAAGGTAGCTATTATTAAGGATAAGGTTCACGCATGTGATAGAATAGATGATGCAAGAGCCTTTTAAGTGGCATGGAAATGCTTATTTATAAGTCAGATTGATAACGGGCTTTCAAAACTCTTGAGTATGATCTCAGCTATGGATTCATACAGAGAGTAAAAGAAAGACTAAGACAGAAAGAGAGAGACTGGCTGGCATTGACATTTTCTTCATTCTTTTATCTAAAAAGAGCCACACAGAACTACTGAAGCCCTAGCCTTTCTTCTGAGGCTCCTGAGACTTCCCCTTGCTTTGGATAGAGGTTCCTTTGCTCAGAACCCTAACAAGGAATTTTACTGATGATAGAACTGTGTCTAAATCTCAGTGGTGAGACATAGATAGATAGACAGACATAGATAGATAGATAGATAGATAGATAGATAGATAGATAGATAGATAGATAGTGGTATTGCTGAAGCTGACTTTTGAAAAGTGAAATGCTCTACAGGGAAAGGTGCCACTGATTGGGTTGCATAGAAGCAGACTGAACCAGGGCAGAGATTCCTGTATAAATGATTTATTGAGAGAGTGTTCTTGGGAGAAAGTTGTAAGGGTGAAAGATGCTAAGATAAAGATACAGGGAAGAAGTTCACAAGGATGTGGTTTCTTCTGGACTCACCTGAGCACACAGGGAGCTAAGGAGTGTTCATTGCTCCACAGAGTCTGACCCTCACCCTCACCCCGACGCCAGGGGGTGGGCCTTTTATACACATACACGAGTCTGCAGCCTTTCCTGGGGAGATGGGCATAACTCCTAGGTACCTCTGTGGTTAGGCAGCTCCAATTGCTCAAGAGCATCCCTAAGAGAAGGTTACATGTGTGAGCCATTAGCAGAAGCAGTGAGGTGGGCACACTGACCTAGTAAAGGGATCCTAGGCGATCTAAATATGTCCCCAGCACCATCTGCCTTCAAAGGGTTAAAGGAAATTAACCTCCCTTTATCCCCCAACCCCCACCCCTTAAGAGGAGCTAGGAGAATAACGCCAGGCCATTTAGTAGCTCAGATGCCTGGCTTAGGTGGGAGATATGAGAGAAAAGAAGGTCTTCTTTTTTAGCAAAATTGAAGGCAGCAGGGGGTAGGTGGGAGCGGGGATTTGTTTAAAAGTTCCCTTCTCTGTCCAGCATGCCCAAAGGCTGAGGAAGTGAAAAGGAGGAAAGCGTGGAAGCAGCAGACAGAGGAGGCAGCCAGTGCAGTTGGTTACATTGAGCAAACAAGTAAATTGAGCAAAGACAGAACCGTATTGAGGATAGTGAGACCAGATTTCCCATTATTGGAGAAGGGAATTGCAACACAGAAGCAAAGAAGGTTAGAAAGACCCCTAGGATAACTAACTGAAATGGAAAGTATCAGTATGAACTTGTTGTTTTTAAATAAATATACACAGATAGATATAGATATGGTGATTGTGTGGAGAGAGGAAGAGAAGTAAGACAGAAATAGATGATTGTTAGATAGATAGATAGATAGATAGATAGATAGATGATAGGTAGATAGATAGATAGACAAACAGATAATTTCTTAGCTATGTCCACCGAGAGGGCCCAGCAGCAGTGACACCCCAAAAGCAATGATCACACTGAGCACAGAGATCTTGGTTTCTAAATACCATCTTCTGCCAAAGGGAACCAGGGCTTCCTGGAAAGGTGATGACAGACTCCAGGGCTGGGGCAAGGGAAGATGAGCTGGACATCTTGTGCTAGAAAATAGGGAAGACCTTGAGGAATGATGGAGACATGCCAAAAAGACAACAGGAATCAGCCTGAAGGGGCTCCCACTGGCCAGATCTGGGACAGTCTGCACATCAAAATAGTAACAGGTTGCAGCCTGGGCAAGGTGGCTCATGCCTGTAATTCCAGCCCTTTGGGAGGCTGAGGCAGGCAAATCACTTGAGGTCAGGAGTTTGAGACCAGCCTGGACAACATGCTGAAACCTCATCTCTACCAAAATTAAAAGTTAAAAAATTAGCCAGACATTGTGGCAGGTACCTGTAATCTCAGTTACTCAGGAGGCTGAGGGGGGAGAATTGCTTGAACCCAGAAGGTGGAGGTTTCAGTGAGCCAAGATTGTGCCACTGCACTCCAGCCTGGGTGACAAAGTAAAATCCTGCCTCAAAATAATAATACTAACAATAATGATAATAATAACAGGTTGTAACTCATGAAATAAAATTGGAATCTGCTGGTCCTTACTGATTAGATGGCTAGATACGACAGATAAAGGAGAGGAGGAAAGGTCTTCTGAGCATCAGAATAATAACAAGCTACAACCCACTGTAGAAATAGGACTCCAGAAGTCCATACTGATTGAATGGATAGACAGATAAGATGAAAGGAAGAAGGAAAAGCTCCTTCTTACAGTAGAATGTCAACTGATAAATGTAGAAGGAATGACAGAAATTAAAAATGCCATTTGTGGGGCTGGGTGCAGTGGCTCATGCCTGTAATCCTACTGCTTTGGGAAGTCAAGGCAGAAGGATTGCTTGAGCCCAGGAGTTTGAGACCAGCCTGAACAACATAATGAGACATCATCTCTAAAATAATTTTTAAAAAATTAGCTGGGCGTGGTGCTGTGTGCCTGTAGTCCTAGTCCCAGTGCTATAGTCTTGGAGACTGAGGTAAGGATAGATTGAGCCAGGAAGGTTGAGGCTGCAGTGAGCCATGATGGCACCACAGCACTCAAGCCTGGGGATAGGGTAAGACCCTGTCTCAAAAACCAGATAAAAACAACCACGTGTTACCATCGCAGTGGAAGATGATGTAGATAGAGATAGTCAATGGCTAAAACTGGTAGGTGGAGGTTCTGTGGGGAGGATATTGGCATAATCTCTGAATATTTCCTCACAAAGGAGAAATATTATTCATCAGGAATGGAAAGTTATAACTTAGGGTGGAGGAATCTGTCAGACCAGATTACCAAGCTGGTCATCTCCATCACCAGCTTGATCCGGTGATGAAGATTAATGTCACTGGTGACAGGTTGACACTGTGTGCCCTGGTGTGCTGAGAAGAGCTCAGGTCAAGGTGTTCCTGCCAAGAAGACATTTTTCCCTAGACTTACTGGGTTACGGGCAGGGCTCAATGGCAGCAGTTATGAAATTTGAAAATCACTTGGGGAGTTAAAAATGCAGGTGAGGCTGGGCACGGTGCCTCACATCTGTATTCACAGTGCTTTTGGAGGCCGAGGTGGGAGGATCACTTGAGGCCAGGAGTTCGAGACCAACTTGGGCAACATACATCTCTACAAATGATAATAATAATTAGTCAGGAGTGGTGTGCATATCTGTAGTCTTAGCTACTCTGGAGGCTGAGGCAGGAGGATCACTTGAGTCCAGCAGTTCAAGGTTGTGCAGTGACCTATGATTGCACTTCAGCCTGGGTGACAGAGTGAGACACAGACGCTAAATAAATACAATAAAATAAAAATGCAGATGCCAGGCCTCATCCCTGGGTGTGTGTTTCTGGGTCTAGAGAGGGAGGGAGCTAGAGATCTATATATTTAACCATCATCATCTCAGGAAATTCTGTTGTAAGTGGTCCATTGACCACTCTTGGAGGAATGTTGGCAGGAAATTCAGAAAAGCCATAGCCATTTTCCCACCCAGTTCTGATCTTAACTCCCTTTCTGTCTCTTTTACATTCCCAGGGTAACGCTCTATGCCGAGTTCCTTCCCATGAAAGCCAGAGCTAAATGCATTTTGCTGATTGAGGTAAGGAGGAGAGTGGCCCGGGTCTCCAGAGTGTGGACTCTGGCAGGGGCTTCTCAGATGTCTTTGGCCACAGGTCAAGGAAAAGGGGGTTTAAGAAAAAAAATGTTACAGACTCAATATGCAAAAATGTAAAGGGATCAGTTTCATCAATTCTCACATGCCTATTTTGCAATATGGATAAATTCTTCAATTGACAAGAACATTCAAGCTATCATCCCTCAAAAAAAAAAAAAAAAAAAAAAAACAGAGGCAAGAGTATAGAAGAGTATGTTTTTCTTGAACTGGAAACAGCTTGAATTTGAGAGTTTGTGTGGAATAGTGTGGCATGAGTAGACCAGACTCCTGCCCCCACACCCACATCATCACCCTCCACCTGTGCCTGTGTTTTTGGTCCATGGACATTCTTGACCATTTCTGTGGCCTGTAGGCTGCCTTAGAACTCTCAAGGTCCAACTAGCTCCTCTCAAGTTTTTCTTCCAGGGTCTCGTGACCCATTTCCAACCTTCCAACCATGAACTGAAAGATCTCAGAGCAAATACAATGTCCATGACCCCCTACCTCATGCAGCTGCCCAATGGGCCCCTCCACACAGTGGCAGAATGGTTTATTTGCCCCTGCTGGACATTGATCCCACAGTGATGACTGTGAACCCACTCTGGTGTCCCCAGTCACTATAAGCACACTGACAATATTAATCACATTGCCCCCACAGCCCAACATCCTGACAACATCTGCTCCTTACCAATTAGGGTGATGCTTCAGTGATCCACACTCATGTGGATGAATCAGTTGTTTAAATATTGAAATGCATCTGGGACTTTGGGAGGCCAAGACAGGAGGATCATTTGAGGTCAGGAGTTTGGGGCTGCAGTGAGCTGTGATCACACCATTGCACTCCAGCCTGAGTGGCAGAGCAAGACCCTATCTATTAAAAAACAACAACAACAAAAAGAAGGCTAGGTGTGGTGGCTCATGCCTGTAATTTCAGCACTTTGGGAGGCCGAGGCGGGTGGACCACCTGAGGTCAGGAGTTCACGATCAGCCTGGCCAACCTGGTGATGAAATCCCATCTCTACTAAAAAAATGCAAAACATTAGCCGGGTATGGTGGCAGGCACCTGTAATCTCAGCTACTCGGGAAGCTGAGGCAGGAGAATTGCTTGAACCTGGGAGATGGAGATTGCAGTGAGCCTAGATCACACCATTGCACTCCAGACTAGGTGACAGAGTGAGACTCTGTCTCAAAAAAAAAAAAAAAAAAAAAAAAAAAAAAAAAAGGGGTGGGTGGGCAAGGGGAATATATCTGGACCAGCTGATCTTGAACTCTGACTGCCCTTCATTGCCTGACACTCTGTCCTCTCTTGGGACCCTCCAGAGCTTCCCATGATTCAGCAACTAAAGAGTTAAACCCTGGCACAGTGCAGATGGTGTGGGCATGTGTAATTGGTGTCCATTCTGATTGGTCAGTGCATTACTTGCTAGACATTCTTCCCTCCGCCCTGGTTGTCAGCAACAGAAATGGACTGTGGTTTATTTAAGCGAAAACGGACTTCGGAAGGTTTTTAGGGACTCCGAAACAAATGAGGAGACTGGAGGGCCAGGTTTTGGAATGGACAGTAATTGTAGAGTCAGGGTCCCAACAGGAAACAGCTACTGAAATTAGGATCATTGCAGATGGTTTAATAAAGACACTATTGGCCAGGCGTGGTGGCTCACACCTGTAATCCCAGCACTTTGGGAGGCCAAGGGGGGCAGATTGCTTGAGGTCAGGAGTTGAGAACAGCCTGGCCAACATGGCAAAACCCCCATCTCTACAAAAACTTAGCCAGGTGTGGTAGCACACACCTGTAATCTCAGCTACTGGGGAGGCTGAGGCATGAGAATTGCCTAAGCCTGGGAGGCAGAGGTTTCAGTGAGCTGAGACTGCAACACTGAACTCCAGCCTGGGCAACAGAGTGAGACTCCGTCTCAAAACAACAATAACAACAAATAAATAAATCAAGGGACTATTTATAAAATCCCCACAAAGGTGTTACCACCTCAGGCCAGAAGGAGCAAAGAGAGGGATTAATGAGCTGCCCAGAGAGTTGTATGATGAAGGCCGCGGGACAGGAGCTAGGACCTTCAGCTGAGGGATACAACCAGCCAGGACCACTCTGCAGGGTGGAAGCCAGGGGAATAAGTGCTTCAGTGTCTTTCTCCTCCCTGCCTCCCATGTCCTGCAGGATTCCACATTGGCTGCACCCAATGGGAAGTGCTAGGACAGGGAGCCTGTTGATGGAATCCACACAAAAGTGGAAAAGATGGAGAGTGACTTGGGCATGCAAACAGAAGATATTCAGCCCCATCAAGAAGGGGCAATTCTGATTAGGAATTCTGGGGCACCATTGGGCAAGGGAGATGGATGTCAGTGAGCAAAGTCAGTGTGTCCATTTTGCACAGCCATGTTCATAGCCACGTTATTCACAACAGCTAAGACATGGAAGCAGCCGGGCATGGTGGCTCATGCCTGTAATCCCAGCACTTTGGTAGGCCAAGGTGGGCAGATCACCTGAGGTCAGGAGTTTGAGACCAGCCTGGCCAACATGGTGAAACCCCATTTCTTAAAAAAAAAAAAAAAGAAAAAAAGGACATGGAAGCAACCCAAGTGTCCATCAACACACTCGTGGACAAACAAGCTGTGGTCTATACATTCATTGGAATATTATTCAGCCTCAAAAAGGAAGGACATTGTGACACATGCTACATCACAGATGAATCTTGAGGACATTATGCTCAGGGAAGTAAGCCAGTCACAAAAAAACAAATACTGTACAATTCCACTTATATGAGGTACCTAGAGTAATCAAATTCATAGACACAAAAAGTAGAATTGTGGTTGCCAAGGGCTGGGGATAGAGGGGAATGGAGAGTTATTGTTTAATGGGTACAGACTTTCTGACCAGGCACGGTGACTCACCCCTGTAATCCCAGCAACTTGGGAGGCTGAGATGGGTAGATCATCTGAGGTCAGGAGTTTGAAACCAGTCTGGCCAACACGGTAAAACCCTGTCTCTACTAAAAATACAAAAATTAGCTTAATGTGATTGGGGGCACCTGTAATTCCAACTACTGGGGAGGCTGAGGCAGGAGAATCGCTTGAACCCATGAGGCAGAGGTTGCAGTGAGCTGAGATCATGCCACTGCACTTCAGCCTGGGCAACAGAGCAAGACTCTGTCTCAAAAAAAAAAAAAAATGAGTACACACTTTCATGTTTGCAAGATGAGTTCTGGTGCAGGGGAGTGGTGATGTTTGCACAATATTACGAATGTATTTAATACCACTGAACTGCACACTTAAAAATGGTTAAGATGGTAAATTTTGTTACGTGTATTTTACCATAATAAAAAATTTGAGGCTGGGTGTGGTGGCTCATGCCTGTAACCCCGTGCTTGGGGAGGCCCAGGAGGGCAAATCACTTGAGCCCAGGAGTTCAAGACCAGCCTGGGAAGCACAGTGAAACCCCACCTCTACTAAAGATACAAAAAATTAGCTGGGCATGGTGGCATGTGCCTGTAGTTCCAGCCACTTAGGAGGCTGAGTTGGGAGGATTACTTGAGCCTGGGAGGTCGAGACTGTGGTGAGCCATGATTTGAACACTGTATTTCAGCCTGGGCGACAGAGAAAGACCCTGTTAAAAAGAAAAGACCCAATATGTTGACTACCAATTTGACATCACATAATATTGACCATATTGATCTCCTTAACCAGAGCTGCCGCATCGCCCCACTCCAGCGGGTGCCATACAAATATACAGGGGAGATGGCACCCTTGTGAGCTTGGCAATGTGGCAGCCCTGGCCCGACCCTATAGATCATAGGGAAAGGGTGGCTATTCTAACCTTGCTGACTCCAGTAACCCGTTACCCATAGAAAGACCCTGGTCCACAGTGCCCCATAATTCCTCAGTGTGTGGACCATGCTACCCCCGTCGCTGACCCCAATTCTCCTGTGCCAGGTATTCTGGGCCATCGGGACAGTGTTCGAGGTCGCCCTGGCTGTGTTCGTGATGCCCAGCCTGGGCTGGCGTTGGCTGCTCATCCTCTCGGCTGTCCCGCTCCTCCTCTTTGCCGTGCTGTGTTTCGTAGGTATCCTTTAAGAGATCTCAGCTTTTGCTACCTGACACCTTACTGTCCATTCTATTTTAGCGGGGAGGGGATGGAGAAGGATGCCAAAGCCACCTTTTAAGATTATTATTTTTTCATCAGGAAATGAGACAAGAGAGTTATGGCCCGGGATAGCCCCAGTATGGAGTGTTAGATTTCCTCCAGACAGACACTTCTGAGATATTTTCTAGAGAGAGAACTGGGGATGGGAGGATACATTGGCCCCATCATTGCAAAATCTACACTTAAAGTGATTATATTGCCTTAGGTGAGACTCTTAAGTTGCAAGTGACAGAAATCCCATTCAAACTGGCTTGAGTAAAACAGAGGGATAAATACATTTCAGAGGATTCAAGCTAACTTCAGGAATGGCTGGCTCCAGGAGTTTAATGATCTCTTCATCTCAGCTCTGCAGAAACCACACCCTCTACTGAGATCTTGCCACATACTCATCATTTCACGGGCACATGGATGAAACACTTTACAGCCAGTAGGCACTAAAATAAGCCTAGAGATGGCTAGTTATCATGTATGATAAATACCACAAAAATTCCTGGTAATGACAATAAGTGTTAATAATTATTAAGCTTAACTGTGTGGCAGGCTCTGTGCTCCATGCATTATGATATTTATTTCTCCCACTAATCACAGGACTATAATGAACCCCTATATGAGTCAGGATGATACCAGCTGCTGAAACAAACAAAGCCCACACGTTCAGCAACGTAGCATGAGAGGAGCTTCTCTCTCACTCACACAATAGTTCAGAATGACTTTTCTGGTTGGCAAGTGGAATTCTGGGCCCTGGTTTTGTCCAGCTGGTGGCTCTGCCATCCTCTAGGGCTTTGAAGTCTTCTGCAGTCAGACAGCAGACTTGCAAAAGGCAAGTAGTGACTGCACATTCACTGCACATTCCTGGCCTTGGCCAGGAATAGTCTGCTCATACGCCATTGGTGAACACAAGTCACATGGTCTCACCTAGTTGCAAGGGGAGCTGGGAAATGTAGTCCCTATCTGGGCAGCCACCTCTGAAGACAACTTTGCACTATGAAAAAGGAAAGGGCCTACAGCAAATAGATGAAAGAACTCTGAACCAGATCTTCTAACTTCTAGTCTCATGTTTTCTCCAGTTTACCTGCTGTTTCTAATAGCTGTTGCTCCATTTTTACAGAAATGTATTTATCTAGTCATTTGTGGTTGTGACTTCCATAGGCCTAAAAATCTTTCTGATTTCTTTCTCTTGAACTGAGTTTGCAAGATGATGCTGAATACAGGTGAGGTATAATTCCTTAAGAGATGGGGGTGAGAATTCTGATGGTGATCTTAATTTAATTCAGCCTTCGCCTGGAATCCTGAAAGCAGCCCCAAGTAATAGTAATAGTAACCGTGACAATAATAACCGCATTAACCCCGACCAGGTGCTGAGCTAAGCACTTTGCCTGGATGATCCCGTTTAATCCTCTCAAGAGTCCTACGAGCTAGGATCTCTTGTCATTCACATTTTATGGATAAGGAAATGAAAGCACAGAGATGTCAAGTAATTGTGCAGGGTCACACAACCAACATCATAAACAGCGGGGCCAGGATTTGAAGTCAGGTCTCCAGAGCCCCCACCTTAAAGACCCGACACATAAATAAGAGTGTGTGGCTAGAAGTGAGTGCTCTGTTCCACCCTAACGAGTCACACCTGGGTCTCCTGTCTCCCCCATCCCAGTGGCTGCCGGAAAGTGCAAGGTATGATGTGCTGTCAGGGAACCAGGAAAAGGCAATTGCCACCTTAAAGAGGATAGCGACGGAAAACGGAGCTCCCATGCCACTGGGGAAACTCATCATCTCCAGACAGGTCAGTGCCTGGACCAATGGACTCTGCAACGTGTGTATTGGTGTGCATGCAGGGGTGTGCACATAGAGTAAGGCATGCAAGTGTGGATACACGTGGGTGTGTGTACCCAGGGTGTGGTGTGTGTGTGTGCGCACATGGAACGGATGAGGCCCCAGTAGACAGGACCTGCAAGGGTAATTTGGCCACTCCAGTATGTATCGTAACTGCCAAATTCTAAAAATCCTACCTGGAAAATTTCGCCAGTGACTAGAGAAATGTAACGTCTGCTAATGGGTCCTGTAACTACTGCTTCGGGTTCGCCTTTCAGCACAGATGAAGCCTGACTAGCAAATGAGATTGATTGGCAAAAGCTGGGCAGTAAAACCACATTAGGAAGGAATGTGCTTAGATCGCGGGGTTCAAACCGCACCTGATGTAGATCTTCGTAATGGATGGTGCCTCACTCCACCAGTAACACCATCAGGAAATCCACCACGGTGAAACTCAATGAGCACCTACTGTATATAGGCACTGGCATTGCACACGTTAAGAGAAAAGATTCAGATTTAAGGCTGCAGTTCCTGCCCTCAAGAGCCATCCAAGCGGATTAGAGGAACGTAACAAGTACCCTTAAGCAGACATCAGATCCTATAAAGAAATTACCTTTTAAAATAAAGTTCTATTTCTCATTGTTTTTATATTATGCAAGAATTAAATGGTATTTCAGCAGGTTGGAAGGAGGTGTTTGGTCTGACAACGCAGAGGCCAGGGGACCTGCCCCAAATCTCCAGGGCAGAGCAGGAGGGATTCCGCAAGAAGTGCAGAAGCCTATTTGGTTGCCTTTGGGGAGAGACCCCTCCCATGGCTGAAGGAAAGCCAGGCTGGTCTCGAACTCCTGGCTTCAAGTGACCCACCTGCCCTGGCGTCCCAAAGTGCTGGGATTGCAGGCATGAACCACCGCACCTGCTATAGCATATATTTTTTAAAGAACATTGTAAAGCAAAGATTTGTAAAATTTGTAAATTATGTAAAATTGGCCAATAGGTCATTTAGCTCATCCATCTTTTGGTAAATTGACGTGTGGTGAATTAGTTTCTCAGCACATTCATTGTTGCCACCTAGACCTAGAACTGGGGAAGGCACTTGTGTATGTGTGAAATGGCTGGACATGCTTTGAACTGGTTTTTTGCTCCCTGGGTCCATGAGTCTGTGCTGAGGTCTGAGGGGCCAGGACAGAGGGATCTGCTTCCCAGCTCCAGGTTTCCAGGTTGGAGGGCATGAGATCCACCCTGTGGGAATCATGCCTCTGGACATGGCTGGGTTCTGGCTGGAGGGCTTGGGAGGCTGCGTCCTGTAGATTTGAGTTCTGGGTTCTCAGAGCTCCAGTGTCCTACCAACCAGAAACCTCCCTCCCACCGTGTGTGCACTAGTCTCAGGCCACCAGCAGGTCTCCCATGCATCTGTAGGGGAGAGAATAAACACCATGTCTTTGTTTTGAAACAGGAAGACCGAGGCAAAATGAGGGACCTTTTCACGCCCCATTTTAGATGGACAACTTTGTTGCTGTGGTTTATATGGTAAGAGCTGTTCGGTGACCACTTTGACCCCCTTCCACTCCCTGTGTCCTGTTTTGGGTTTTGTTTTAATGCAATTGCACAGAGAACATTTTGATTTACAGCAGCATTTGCAAATTTCAGTAGTTTGAACATCATCCTCCTGATTTTCGCCATATCCAGGTTATCATCTGTATGTACTATTGTTTCCTTCATCTTTTTCTTTAACTTGACTGCTTTGACTCAAGCATCTTTTAAAAGGCAACTTTAAAACTGTTTTATTGTATTTTTTTTATTTTTGAGACAGAGTCGCCTCCCTCCACTGCTCAGGCTGGAGTGCAGTGGCACTATCCTAGTTTACTGCAGACTTGAACTCCTGAACTCAAGCAATCCTCCCTCCTCAGCCTCCCTAAATTCTGGGATTGCATGTGTAAGCCACTGAACCAGTCCTATAACTCTACTTTAAAGGAAAACACTTTAATTGCAGGTCACAGATAGAAGGCATTCTTAAAGAGAAATACCAGCAAAAGTAACCAGATGGATGGTTTGCAGAGGCAATGAGCCTCTGGATTTAAGAGATAAAAAGGCTGGCTGGATGTGGTGGCTCATGCCCATAATCCCAACACTGGTAAGGCCGAGGTAGGAAGATCTCCTGAAGCCAGGAGTTCGAGAACGGCCTGGGCAACATGGTAAAACCCTGTCTCTACACAAAATGTTTAAGTTACCCGGGTGTGGAGGCATGAACCTGTGGTCCCAGCTACTCAGGAGACTCAGGTGAGAGGATCACTTGAGCCCAGGAGGTCAAGGCTGCAGTGAGCTGTGATCATGCCACTGTACTCCAGCCTAGGCGACAGAATGAGACCCTGTTTCAAAACAAAAACAAGAAAGAAATGGGAGGGGGAGGTGTTAAGGACTCCATAGCACGTAAGTGACACTGGGACATAATTTAAAAGGATTGAAAGTAAACTTAAAAGGGAATTTTTCTTTCATAATATGATTGAATATTTCTGCTATGTGGCCCTGTGTGGTGGCTTACACCTATAATCTCAGCCCTTTGAGAGGCTGAAGCAGGTGGATCACCTGAGGTCAGGAGTTTGAGACCAGCCTGGCCAAGATGGTGTAACCCCATCTCTACTAAAATATGAAAATTAGCTGGGTGTGGTGGCAGGCGCCTGTAATAATGAGAACCTCTTGAACCTGGGAGATGGAAGCTGCAGTGAGCCAAGATTGCACCACTGTATTCCAGCCTGAGTGACGGAGTGAGACTCTGTCTCAAAAAAAAAAAATAAAAAATAAATAAATAAATAAATAAATAAATATATATATATATATATATGTGTGTGTGTGTGTGTGTGCGCGCGCACGCGGGTGTGTGTGTATTTATTTATTCATTTATGTCAGTGTCCTGCCTGAGCCCGTATTGCCCCTTGGGCACCACAGGGGTGGCATGTGGCACATATTTTGGGAACCTCTGATTTGGTCAATGTGGGCATTCTTTTAAGTTCCAGTTCTGATCCTGTTGGACCTTTTCTTAAATAACAGCCATGGAAGGGAGCTGGAGACAGAAGGTGCGGGCTTGGGGGTGGCATTTGGAGAGTGTAATCACCCTAAACTCCACAAGGAATTGGAATTGCAGTCATCCTTCAACTCTCTTTGTACCAATTCATGTACACAGCATTAACAGTGAACAAAATTGGCCTGGCTTAAGGCTTTGTGTTCTTTTTTAACCAGTTCTCATTTTTCCATTCACCATTTAGCAGAGGTGCTAATTAACAGGGAAGTGACCCCAAGGTGGTCAATTATAGGAAAGAGGAGAATAAGCTTTGGTAATATTCAGAACCCGGGGGTCTGTGTTGAGAATACCCACCTTTGAGCACATGTAATTTGGTTGGGCCAACACTCCTTGAATACTGAAGCAATTAATTAGAGACTAATTTTAGTGCATTTTGGAAGTCACTAAATTTGCTTGCACACATTGTAACCTAAGGAAATGAATCACTGGCTTTTGATTATGACTGCATTTCCATATAACTATTCCACTGGATAAGAAAGCTCTGATCCTGCAAACTTGGGTATTCTAGTTCCTGGATCAGCTAGGAATTAATAAAACAGGGTCATTCTGCTCTGAAATTTGAAAATCACATGTCTAAGTTGATATGCTTGACCTAGAAGCCCTAAAAGATGTTAATGGGACTGTTTTCTTCCAGAGGTTGGTCCCTAAAACCATTTTTCCCCTGTTGCCAGTCAGATAGACAGCCTTGGAGGTGCTGTGTCTCTGGGATAGTATAGTTGTATTACTAGAAAAGTGTCCCGATTCAGACCCCAAGAAAGGGTTCTTGGATTTCGTGCAAGAAAGAATTCAAGACCAGTCCATAGAGTAATGTGAAAGCAAGTTTATTAAGAAAGGAAAGGAATAAAAGAGTGGCTACTCCATAGGCAGAGCAGCCCCGAGGGCTCCTGGTTGCCCCTTTTTATGGTTATTTCTTGATGATACGCTAAATAAGAGGTGGATTATTCAGTTAGGGGAATGTCTGACGTTGCCATGGCATTTGTAAACTGTCAAGGCGCTGGTGGAAGTGTAGCAGTGAGGATGACCAGAGGTCACTCTCATCACCATCTTGGTTTTGCTGGGTTTATAGCTGGCTTCCTTTTTTTTTTTTTTTTTTTTTTTTTTTTGGGTGGCTTTTTCCTTTTTTTTCCTTC